CCCACCTCAAGCCCAGCGCACCATCCATGCAACGGTGTCTGCCCAAAGCACTTGCATCGCAAAAACATAATAAAGTGGCACAGACTTCTATAATCTCCCGTGTTCTATTTATAATAACTTCGTCTTGAATGGCGAAGGCCGTGCCTCCCACACATATCCCTTTGTACTAGCCCTTATACTGCCCCAAGCCAACTCTCGGTACCCTAGCTCGCCAAAAGAGGGAAGTAAAGGAAAAAAAATACCTTATCTAGTTTTTTTTTGATAGCATGTAGTAGAGATACTAGTTTGATCCAACAATACTGAAAAGTTCATAACCAAAATTGTAGCAGGTGGAAAACCATATTAGAAATACTGATACATCTTTCTATCATTTCTATCAGATCCAAGAGTGTATATTGCCGACAAGTAATATAACGAAAATAGGAGTGGTAGATCATAGTGCCTGTAAAATGGCATCACACATCTTCACCACCTTCTCTTCCTCGAGCCGGCGCCCAACTAGTTGAAGGCTGACAGGCATTCCGTGAATGGCACTGGGGTTATCTACAGTCCATTAGCGATGTGCTAACCTGGCTGGAAAACGGTAAAGAAATGGGAAAGACATACATTCACTCTGTACCAAAGCATCTTCCTTGCTAAGTGGTGTTTCGCCAACTGCTGGGACATCAACGGCTTGATCAACGGCAACATTGCAGGGAAATGATATGCAGGAATAGTCCAAAATATTGAACACGCCCGTATAAGCGACATGCCTGAATTTAGAATGTTCGATGGCAGCAAAGGGTGTCGTTGGGGCTATTTCGAGGAATTAGCATGGTATTTAAGATATTCATGTATCCATTGAAGATAAAGCATACCCAATATAGCATCGAGTCCTAATGCGTTCCATCGGTCCAAGTAGTCCTTTTGCAGGGTATTTCGTTCTTGATGGAGTTGCCATAGGTTATATACGCCATGGTCCACTGCACGACCATACCGTTCCATCTCAGGGCGGATAGGCTCATCAGACATTGCAAGCAGTTTTTCAACCGACTTTCCACCATCGGAGAGAAAGAAGCGGTCCTATAGTTCCATTAGACGGAGTGAAAGTTCTTGTGGAATGAGAGCAAGGAGATAGCTATTCATACTAGTATATCGGCAGCTTGAGCATGGCCAATGGGTTCCCAGTCGATAACTTCATGACCTGCCAGCCTCAACTTCTCTGCTGTTTCTTTCAGAGCTCTTCTGACGGGGGGAGTGGGCCTGACCATGCCATCGTTCCACAGAATGCCTATTTTCAAGCCCCTTTTGAGCTCAACTTGTCTCCATGGAATAGGAAGGCATTTGGGGTCGGTGTTCCATGGCTGAGAACCGACGACTGCTTCGGCCCAGATAGAGATAGAGTGTAGATCTCGTGCCATGGGGCCATTGACGCTGGTCACTGACTCTTGTCCCGCAAGACCAGATTTGGTCTTGAAGTTAGGGAAACGGCCAAAAGAGGGCTTCAGAGTAAAGATTCCTGTGAGTGCGGCGGGTATACGCAGAGATCCCCCTAGGGTAGATTAGTGCTAGCTAAAATTGCAAGATGATAACCATGGATATCCTACCAATATCAGTGCCGACTCCAAGGGGACTCCCTCGGAATGCTATTAAAGCTGACTCGCCTCCTGAAGACCCTCCAGAAGAGGTAAGACGGTTAAGGGGGTTCGTGGTCCGGCCAAAGACATTGTTAACGGTTTCCGCAATCATCATGGCCGTGGGCACATTGGTTTTGACGTAGAGTATTGCCCCGGCTGCCTTTAGCAGATCTATCAATACGCTGTTATGCGTTGCTGGCTGCCCAACCCAGGCTGTGAAGCCGAGTGTGGAGTCCTTGCCAGCGATGTTGAAGTTATCCTTGATAGATATAGGAAGGCCGTGCAACGGCCCCAGGAGCTTCCCAGTGGCTGCAAGGTGGGTATCAAGCGCCTGAGCAGCCTTGATGGCCTCAGGAAACAAAGTCTCTGATAGACAGTTTGTCTAGTATCGCCAGTTAGTTAACCTATTCGAATGTCCCTGCGGTTGATTTGACTAAGGGTGGTGGTATAGTTATACAAGCTGGTGGGCAGCCGCAGCTCTTTTGCAGAACGCCCGAGCGACTGACTCGGCCGTCCATGACCCTGAAGCGGTTTTCTCGAGGATGACGGCTGCCGGAGAAGAAGTGATCTCGAGCTCAGCCTTGGTGAACCATCCAGAGGTTTCAGGCCAGGCTGAGACGTCCGGCTGAGAGTCCGGCGGGAGGATATCAGCATGTATCAGCCATTCTGGAGGAATCGAGGCAAGCAGGGCCTTTTGCTTTGCCGTGCTGATTGCCTGCCACTGCGTTTTGGTCATCGTGAGGGTGTTTCTGCTGGTGATATCCAACTATCCTCTTCTTTTGGGGTCGTCCTTGACGTCGACCGAGCAAACCGCCAGAGAACCCGGCGCCTATAACTAACTACACAGACGCTCTACCAAACCGCTGCCGGCTCGTCGGTAATCCGCTGAGGGGGTGCCGGTAGACGAGCTACCTAGGTAAACTAATTATGGGCGACTCTCGATGTTCTCATTTTGAATTAACGAACTAGTCAACCCTAGTGCCAGAGCCTCGCCGGCTATTCCTCACCTCGTTCTCGCCCTTCGCCTTATCCTCCTCACTCTTGTGCCCAGGGCTAATTATGCTGAATACGGCATGTATCCTCCAGTAGGGTTCTGGGACTTAGCAGAAGAAACTGTATGTGGGGTTTCAGCATTGAGACTAGAGTAGTTAGTTACAGAGTCAGGAGATTGTAACTAATTTAATCATATTTTTTTTTTTTTTTTTTTTTTTTTAAAAAAAAAAAAAAAAAAAGGCACTTCGTAGACTTCATACTATTAAGAGACCAATTGGATCTCATGATATCTGTAAAGTTGACCCAGAGATTCAGAATTGGCGCATGCTTTTGTATAGCCTCATTGGCAGCATAGCTGGACCAAGATTAATTGAGCCGCCTGCTTCAAGATTAAGCGTAAACCAGGCCTATTCACGCCCTGAACATCCTCAACACCTTCTCTTCGCACTTTTTACAGTGGCTTTATTCTGGGAACCGTTTTGTCGCCTGTGTTGGCTATCGACCGTGTTGAAGATTTTCTTGGATGCATCTCTCAACTGTGCCGGAAAAGTGTCAGTCTCGTGGCTGTTTATCAAGCCGCTGAGCCTAAGGGAAGCCCCTTATTTGACTGCAGAGAGGATAGTCCCTTTGGTCGATTTACGGAATAGTTGTATCTTTGACATTATTATCTTTGACTATATTCTTATCCTGGTAGGAGTAGTGAAGATGACTAAGCTAATTAGTAACACATTCTGACTAACCATTTCAGCTTACGCTTACTCAGCAAACTCTTTAACCCTTTGGCGAGTCTTGCTGACTAAGTCCATCGAGGGAAGAATTTGGCATATGCTGATCTCCCATATTATTGTACGTTGATCAATTATTTTATCATATTAAAAAGATTTTATTTACTGAAATAAGGGATTATAGATGGTCACTGATATAACTGGCTATCTGGGCTCTAGCGACTTGCCGTCTTGTCCGTGCCATGGACGTAATTTCAGCCGCACGAAGGTAACAACGAAGCGCGACTAGATAACCAGGACGCCTCAGCAACCAGCCCGGAGCTAGCTCCGTACAACTAGATACCCTGACCAGCAGACATCATGGAGACCAGGACAGCCAGAAAATACATGTGGAGTCGTCGCTACAAATACACACCTGGCCGTCGATGTCTCTGAGTAACTATAAAACTCCATTGACTCGACCGAGGCTAGAAATAAATATAAGGGCGGAATAAACCCGCGAGCATAAAAAGGCTCATTCAGGAGATGCCAGAACTTTACGACTGAGTTTGCCGCTGGCCAAAGCCCTCTCAGCAGGCCAGAGTTGGAGATATCGCCCTGACGGTGGCTCCTGAGCCGTCTACTTTGCTTCCCTGTGGGGGTGGAACAGATTCCGCCCCCTGCACGCTTGTGTAAGTTTGCCCTAGGATGAAAAGATTGCTGGCCCAATCACCGTGCTTGCGACGATGCTGATATGCGGAAGACGGCAGCTCAGTGTGTGTGCGGGAGTTGGTTCAGTGTCGATGATGCGTCTGGGGGAGATGTCCTGCGGGCACCAATGGCCACTTTTGGGAAAAAAAGATATATATCCAGCAGGGCCGCATTGTCATCCCCTGTGGTCGATCCGGAAGGGTCATAAATATATGTCCACCGGTGATTGTAGCTGATTGAGCTGTAGCGGTTTGCTATCTATCTTATCTACTCTGCAAAGAGCTGGCGGGATGGCTTCCCACACGATACTGATAGCCCTCGTGGCCATTGGTTACCTGCTTCTTAAATATTTCAACAAGACCGATGTTGCTAAGGTCAAGAATCTCCCGGAGATACCTGGGGTGCCAATGTTTGGCAACCTCCTCCAGCTAGGAGACTCGCATGCTAAACGAGCGGCCGCCTGGGTGAAGGAGTATGGACCCGTCTTCCAGGTCCGGCTGGGCAATAGGGTGAGTAGCACCAGCCTATGACTGAACTATCAGAATCGTGTAGTTGCTAATAATAGCTGGGATAGAGAGTTATCTTTGCCAATACCTTCGAGTCTGTGAAGTACCTATGGATAACACACCAGTCGTCCTTGATTTCACGGCCAAAGTTACACACATTCCATTCCGTCGTTTCCAGCTCCCAGGGATTCACCATTGGAACATCGCCGTGGGACGAATCCTGCAAGAGACGCCGCAAGGCTGCTGCGACAGCCCTGAACAGGCCTGCAGTACAGTCCTACATGCCAATCATCGACCTGGAATCGACTACCAGCATCAAGGAGCTGTTGGCAGACAGCAAGGATGGGACAGTTGATATCGATCCGAACCCATATTTCCAGCGTTTCGCCCTTAACACTAGTCTGACCCTGAACTACGGCATCCGTATAGATGGTAGCATCGACGATGAGCTGTTGAAGGAGATTGTGACGGTGGAGCGCGCGGTTAGCAACTTCAGAAGCACCAGCAATAACTGGCAGGACTATATCCCGCTTCTCAGACTATGGCCTACCAGCAACAGCCAGTCAATCGAGTTTCGGGAACGTCGAGATAAGTACATGAGCAAGCTGCTTGAGATGCTAAAGGAGCGTATTGCAAATGGCACCGATAAGCCATGCATCACGGGAAATATAATCAAGGACCCCGAAGCAAAGCTCAACGAAGGTGAGTCTCCCAGATGCTGCCTTTCAAGCGCTTTCACGACTAGTTACTCTATACTGACGCTCATTCTCAGCGGAGTGTAAGTCAATTTGTTTGACCATGGTGTCTGCTGGTCTTGACACTGTCCCGGGGAACCTGATCATGGGGATAGCATACCTGGCCTCTGAGCATGGCCAGGAGATTCAGGCTCGCGCTTATGAGGAGATCATGAAGGTCTATCCCGACGGAGACGCCTGGGAGAAATGTCTAGTTGAGGAGAAGGTCCCGTATATCACAGCTCTGGTGAAGGAGGTCCTTCGCTTCTTTATTGTAATCCCCATCTGCCTTCCCCGTGTCAGTATCAAGGACATCACCTGGAAGGACTCTGTGATTCCCGCTGGAACCACCTTTTTTATGGTAAGACATCAGCATTTTAACAAGTTACCCTGTACTCCCTATGGCTGACTAGACAACCAGAATGCGTATGCTGCCAACTACGACTCCAACCACTTCAAGGAGCCCTTCGAATTCCGACCAGAGCGCTACCTCGACGTTGCCGACGGGACGGGCACGCCACATTATGCCTATGGTGCAGGAAGTCGTATGTGCGCGGGCTCGCATCTCGCGAACCGTGAGCTCTTCACTGCGTTTCTCCGTATAATCTCCGCTTTTACGATCGTTCCGGCAAAGGACAGGGCGGATGATCCCGTACTCGATCCCATCGACTGCACTGATAACAAGACCTCGCTGACTCTCGACCCTCGGCCGTTCAAAGTCGGTTTCAGGGTGCGTGATCGAGCAAAGTTGGATCAATGGATCAGAGAATCGGACGAGAGAACCAAAGTCTTGTAAATATGGACACGGTTATCCAACTGCCCACAGGTGGATACAAGCCAGCAAGTTAGTAGTTCATCAACTAGTTATATAACGACAAATATATATAACCCCTTTTTAGCTAACTACCCGTCTTGACTCTCTTTATGCTTAAAACAACCGTTCTAACTACGCTGCCAAGTTGTCTCGGGGTATCGCGAGCAAACATCTCAGCCGTTGTTGGTCGCTTACGATTCATCGTACTTTGCCTTGGTACTGGTATTTTCTTCTCTTTTTCTCAGCCGGAAATGCGAGTTAATCCTGGCTGCGGTACTCCGTACGAGCGCATGACATTCCTCTGGACGCCCAAGATATGCACTCCATTCGCTTGGCTTGCGCACGTCAGGAGCAGCTAACCTCCTCCACAGTTAGTCTCCGGCTCAAGGATCCAAAATTATTCAAGGATTCGAGGGTTCAAAGGCACCTGGACCCTGCAAGCGCCAGTTTCCTGCCTGCTGGCGGGATTATCTGATGTTTCTGGAACATAGAGGTACATCCCGAGAGACTCCTGTCAGGCTGGGATGCAACCCTTGACCCAGTCAACCAAGAGCAGGATTCACATTCCTCTAAGACAATCATATAACTAACTAACAATGGGTGACGGAATATGTATTCCACTGGGTGATCGGGATGCAGACCTGCCTTGCCTTGCTGCAACACGACCGTGGCAAGGCTCCCTCAAAAGTAGTGCTTCGTCCTCGCCAGCAAACCGCCCTTCTGCAGCAAATCCCTGGATTCTCCTCTCCGCTTGCAGCAACCGCCTTGGCCGTGCATTCAACTTGATTGGCACAGTGATCGTGTCCCATGTCACAGAGGTAGTGCTATAAGTGCTGGGATCGATCAGTATCCTGGTCCCCAAGTCGAATGGCGGGCAAGATTTCTTCCGCGGTAGTCGTATGTACTCTCCCATACGGCGAATACCGCGTAAGATTATGCAGCTAGGTACTCGATATTTTATATTCTGGGATCCACAGCCGATTGGAGAAGCTGGCTAGAGCTGTTCTTTTCTTTTATTTTAAGCATGTTTATATCCTCTTGTTGGGTTTGCTGGCGTCCCGCCAGCTTCAGCCCATTTGAACCGTTCGACAGGTGGATTCTGGCCTGATCCGATACCCGATGATGAGCGAGAAAGCCACGGCCAGCGAGGCCGTCATGAAGACGCCAGCTAGTGACCCTGGGTCTTTAGACATTGTCCATAATACTGAAGCTGAGAAACGGCTTCTTCGCAAATGTGATCTCCACGTTGTGCCGGTTCTTACTTTCTTATTTTTGCTTGCGTTTCTCGATCGAATCAACATTGGCAATGCTCGACTTCAGGGCCTGGAGAAGGATCTCAACATGTCTGGGCGGGACTACAGCATTGCGCTGTTGATATTCTTCATCCCATATATCCTTTGCGAACTTCCCAGCAATTTGATCTTGAAGAAAGTGGCGCCTTCAACATGGATAAGCGGTATAATTGCAGCATGGGGTTAGTGATTAAACATGAGGACTATCACTTAAGATGTTGCTTTATATCACTGACTAGCTGTATAGGGGTGGTTACTATCTGCCAGGGCGTCACTAAAAGCTTTGCAGGACTGGTTGTATGTCGATTTCTGCTCGGGATGTTTGAGGCTGGGTTCTTCCCAGGTATTTTATACCTCGTTATACATTAGGATTCGTGCTCAATGTTAACCAAGTTCCCAGGGTGTGTCTACCTCATCTCCATGTACTACAGAAGACATGAACTCCAAAAACGAGTCAACTTTTTCTTCTCTGCCAGTATCATTGCCGGTGCCTTCAGCGGAGTGAGTTTGCCCTTGACCCATAATCCGCCATGTATATACTACATACTAACAGTTGATAGCTACTTGCATACGGAATTGCTCGTCTGGATGGAACAGCAGGTTACAGTGGATGGCGCTGGATCTTCGTCATTGAAGGACTCGCTACCGTCGTCTTTGCCATTATCTCAAAGTTCTTCATTGTCGATTGGCCGGAGACGGCCAAATTCTTGAACGATCAAGAGCGGAAGATGCTCCTTGCCCGTTTGACTTTTGATAATAATGGTGCACAAATGAACCGCCTCGACCGACCAGCCCTGAAACGCTGCTTATTTGATATTAAGATATATCTTGGGTAAGCTATGCATATATCTTCATGGGGACTACAGGCTTATATTGACTTAGGATGGTCATGTACTTTGGAGCTGTGACATCTGGATATGCTACTGCTTTCTTCACTCCTACCATCCTCCATCAATTCGGCTGGGCACCGCTCAAAGCTCAAGTAATGAGCATCCCAATCTTTGTTGTTTCAACCGTCATCACCCTAGCTCTAGCCTGGGTTTCCGACGCTATACGCCATCGCTTTGCTTTCACTATTTTGGGTTGCGTCGTAGCGACCGTCGGCTACGTCCTGCTTCTCTGCCAGCAACATGTTCCCATAGGAGCTCGATACTTTGCCGTCTTTGCGATTACCATTGGCACTTTTATCACACAGCCGATCTGCGTGACATGGCTCAGCAATTGCATGGCAGGACACTATAAACGCTCCTTTTCTACCTCCTTCCAAGTTGCGTTTGGTAACTTTGGAGGCATACTTGCGAGCAATATATTTTTAGATTCAGAAAAGCCCCTATATCAGACTGGGTTTGGCACTACCCTGGGAGCATTCTGGCTATGTGGAATTGCTTGTATTATACTCCTCTTCGTTCTCATTCGGGAAAATCGAATCCGCGATGCGGGAGGCCGAGATTATCGATTTCAGTTACCGGAGGAAGAAGTCACTAATCTCGGAGACGATCATCCATCGTTCAGGTTCTCGTATTAGAGCATGTTTTTGGATAATAGCTAGCAGTATATGAAGCATCAAAAGAATTAATGATATTAAATGATAATAGATGATTTCTGTATTATTCAATACTGCAAAGCCTCACAACGAACCCCATAGATAAATATCATGGTATAAAGACCTGGAGTCTCTACACAGTCCACCTGAATCAACGAAAAACTTGGAAATACATCACGAACCCGAGTATGAACATTACTATATAACCATTGAAGGCGCTCCATCATTTGCATCGCACGGCCTATTCCCATGTAGAACCACAACTCCGAGCCCCACCCAAGAGAAAATAGAAAGAATGGAAAAGGAAATAGTTTGTCATGTTCTTACTCTTCCTCGGCAGAGTTAGTTAGTGACAAGTAAGCAGTCCAGGCAATCCCGACCGAGGACACGAATGGCTAAATCTGTGTTAGCAAGTGATAAGAAGAACAACCTGAGGCCTATGGCTGGATAACACATACGATCTGGAACTGAATAGGAATTAAACGGAAATTCATGATTTGCACGGCTGGCCAGAGCACGAAATTAGCCTTCAGGGTTGGAAGATAGACGTCTTCGAATTTACGAGACAGAGCACGACGGCCACCCCCTTCTGCCACGGTCATAAAGGTGAAGAAACACGCCAGACCTAACCATGTTAGTTATCTTCTTCTCCCACTCTAGGGTGGGGGGAATTCGAGGGTGCAAATGAGGGTATATACCGATTGGAGCAAAGATGAGTTGGTCCATCGCAACACGCTTTAATGCTGGAATGGTTGCATGGGACTGGGTCACCGGGAATATGTGGGATAAGAAGCTGAACCACCGGTGCTGGATGGGCGCCATGAAGAAGCCATAGGCCATAAAGCGAGTGAGTCTCTCAAAGTCAAACGGAGCAGGCCGCCTTCTGTAGAAATTCAGTTCTCCCACAGCCGGTGGTTTTTCCTTCTCCAAGTCTTGCAAATCAATTGAGATGAAGCTGGTTGTATCCCGGTGCCTCGGTAGTTCCTTGCATCTGGCACTTATGGCGGATATCGACTGTGCAACCGTGTCCGCTATTCCACCCAAAACCTATAGGATTAATTCCCGTCAGCACGGTTCTAGTAACCCCCTCCGTATCTCTGAACTCCTGGCGGGAGGCAAGCAAGGGTCGAGGTATCCTTACAGCATTCGTCACCATTGTTGTCAGAACTGTCGTGCAAATCATTGTTAGCCTCTTATCTTGGTCCCAGTCATATATTAAGGGATAACGGTGATGCCCGGGACATACCGGGATTCTGAGCATAGTACGTATTAAATTTGGCTATCAGCCTCATGGTCACGGCGATCTCGATGAGGAATATGATGGCATGTAGCAGAGGCTAGATATGAAGAAAACGGTTAGTTCTTGAGCAATGCTGGCATAATACAACCTCTATCTCGGCTTCTGGAGTAGCGGGAAGCGCAAGAATGTTGATCCAACAAATGCTGGTAAGGTTTCAACTGACCACACGACCGTAGATATATCGGCTGTCCAAGGCCCTGAGCAGACCCCATTTCGACTGGTTAATCATGGCTGTCTGGGACCGTCTCGACTGTCTTCTCTCGACCTTGCGTAGATGGACGTAGATGCGGGCGGCTGTGGATAGAGCGAGACCTGGTTAGGCGTGGAGATGTCCTCGCCGTCCTGTTGCTGTATGACGCAAGGCCCTTTTTTGCTCCGTTTGGCGCTTTTGACGCTCAAAGAGATTTGAAGTTGCTGGAAAAAGGCTGCAAGTCGAGCAAAGCAACCAATCAGAGTGGAAGAAAGCTGCTTAGTAACTAGTTAAGTGCATGACTAAGATGTATACGAGCCTGCGCTTTCTTTCACAAGCAAAGCCGAAGAACCGGCAGGAGAAGCAGAGAGGAGGGCGATGATAGTCATAAGGGGCCGATCAGGCAGGGTGTACTTAGTGCTCCGTAGGGAGTTGTCCTTATTATCGACCGGGTCCTTCATATGCAACCCGCCATCTATATTCTACTTCATGCGCTGTATTACCGGGCGATCCGCTGTTGGACAAGCCCCTTAAATATCGGCATTTGCGTACGCTACAATGTCAGGCAAATCTCGGATCTCCATGGTTTCGTTTGACGCCAGGTCGACGAGTCTCACAACCTCCAAGTGTAGAAGCCCTGGGGATAGCGGGAGGAGCCTTAGTCTTGTGGAATGGCATGTACCGGGGTGGAGAGGCCTGGTGAATAAGAGTCAGCAATCGCAGTGACCAGCTTGTACCTCTCGTAGCAGATGACAGGCCGCTTACCCTATTTTTGAATCGGTGCTGAGGCAAAGAAGATCGGTCTCATGAGGGGCCGCATTTTGTTGCATTGCATAGACAATGTTTTCGTCAACAACAGCCTCTGCAACTTCATCTGCTCTCTTTATGGAGGAAGACGATGACGGCCGGGGAACATGTGTTCGCGCGTCTGAGCGTCTTCGAAACGGGACAGCAGAAAGCCCGAATTTTCTCACTTTCGTGGAAGTGTTTACAATAAAAACATCCCAGTCAAATGGCTTGCCAACCTCGACGCTAGGAGGACCGAAGAATGATATCTTCACTCCATGGTCCGTAGGAGTAAAAGAGGTGACCTGCGGCATTGTTGGTTCTTGCATGGACTGGTCGCTCCCACGGGATATGATACTTCGTCGCAACATATTACTAACGCCTCCTAAGGACTGGTTTGTAGGCCTGGAGAAGTCAACGCTTGTCCTCCAGCGCATCGAGATCTTTGGGCAACATTCGTCTGAGACTAGCACAGTCACTTTGAGTGAGATGTCAAGCATAGATGTCACTGGTGCGCCATCGGCAAATTCTGAGGATATGAGTTTATAGACCAATGAGATATCATCCCGTGCTGGACAGCTGATAGGGGGTGAGAAGCCAATTGCTTGAGCCAGGGGTTCCACTGTTCCATTAGTTAGGGATAAGTTAGCCTCTTCCAAAACAACTTCATAGCTGGTAAACGGAGTTGCCTCAAAGTCGAGGCTAGCAGTTGTTGATAACTTTTTCAAAACTGCGGCCGATCGGGAATATCTAATCCTAGCACTGGCAGCCGGGATAATGCGAACGGGGTGATACGACCTCTGCTGGATGTTATACATTGACCCTTCGGGCTGGGTAGAGGGGACAAGCCGTAATATCCGAGAGGCAGGAAGGTACGGATCTATATCCTCTCCGGCAGCGGTCAAGGGTTGAAATATATTTGTAGAAGCTGGCGTGAGTCGAGGCAGATATTGGTCATTGCTGGCTGAGGTCTGTGAGCCTTGGGGGCTATAGCTTGCAGATGCCGTAAAAACAACGGATGGATGCCTTAGGCGCACTCGAGGTCGGTCTAAGATCATGTTAGCTTAGGAAGGGGTTATACTGCATAGCTGGGCTAGATACTAACAGAGGAATGCTTCTGATTTCCATATCACATATGCATGGTTTCCATCCCCTCCATCTCCGACAGCTTCATCAACAATGACGAATGGATCATCTTTCTTATCCACGGTTTGGGAATATATTAAATCCTTCGAGCTCTGCTCCTCTTCTCCTGGCTCACTCGAACCTCCTTCATCAATGGCGAGGACTTCAAAACGTACACTGAGGTTTGATATGCAAGCCTCTAGACTGTCCTTTGGGAAATCAGATAGACAAAGCACTAGGTAGAGTGTAATGTGTTCGTCTGTTCGACTAGTATCAGTAATGTGATAGCAACAACCCGAAAGCTAGGAGTCGAAATCCGTACCGAAAAACAGCAGTTGACGTTGTTGAATTTTTGAAAGATATGTTCCTGGATCCCCAGAACTCTCCTGTACAGTCCCCAGCACATCTTCTATATTCAGATCTGAAGCGTGCGGGATGACCGTATCCAGCGTCGCATCTTGTAGGAATTGGTTTTCAGACATGTTAACATAAGGGTATCATGTAGGCCTCACCAAAACGAGGTAACTACAATGAAAGGCACAGGCTAATCCTCGCACTTCTAGCTACTGACAATCATAGAATCAAAATAATACCAAGCAAAAAGACCTGATCTCTTCTCTGCTTGATTTTGCAGGAAGTTGATGTCCAAAAATCGAACCACATGGAATTCCCAAATAGGCAAACGTCGCAGGCCCAATGGAAGGGGTCCTTCTTCACGTGACACGTGCTAAGATTTCTTCGCGCGCCAAAAGTCTCAGAAGCTTCAATCTTTATGTCGAGATCAACAGACACAGCCGACGACGATACCTTGAACAGCTCACTCTCGGGAAACCTGCGGCGTCGCTGGCGGGTTGCTTGCAGTGCGTTTTCGCAGTATTGTGTTCGGTGTCGCCCGCTTAAGCAGGAAACAAACCTGCTGTAACTTGGAAAGCACCTCTGACTCGTCACGATGAATGCCCCAGAAAGTCTACAGATACCGCCAGCTCTCTGGCAGGAGGCACGGAATGCCGAGGGCAGGGTTTACTACTACAATGTTCAAACCAAAGCCACCCAATGGACCAAACCATTGGAATTAATGACTCCAGTGGAGGTGTGTATTCTTTTCCTTGTACCGCTATTTTTGAACACTGCTGATAGCTCTCCAGCGCGCTTTGGCAAATCAGCCATGGAAAGAATATACTGCTGCGGGTGGGCGCAAGTACTGGTATAACACCGAAACCAAACAAAGCTCTTGGGAAATGCCAGAAGTTTACAAAAATGCTCAAGCTCAAGCTCAAGCTCAAGCTCAGGCCGTTTCTAAGCCAGCCTCTGCGTACGTTTTCCATGGTCTCTGGAATTGCATAGGCAAAATCTAATATAGCTATCCTTAGTGCTCCGACCTTTGTTGCTGGCGGTGTAGGCGCATTCCCGACATACCAAACTCCAGCTCACGATCGTGACGAGCATGACCGAAGCGCAAACGATCGACGACACGGATATGGAGGTGGCATTGACATCAACGGTGCTAACGCAATAGCTGCAGCAAATCAGCAGTCCGACTCCGGTTTTGCTTCGTTTGAGGAGGCAGAAGCTACTTTCATGAGACTCCTTCGACGCAGCAACGTTCAACCAGACTGGTCTTGGGAGCAAGTTATGCGTGCCGTCATCAAGGACCCTCAATACCGTTCACTTAAGGATCCCAGAGACCGAAAGGCCGCATTTGACAAATACGTTCTTGAAGTTCGCGCGCAAGAAAAGGACAAGGCAAAAGAGAGGTTTGCTAAATTGAGAGCAGATTTCGGTACCATGTTGAAGAGCCACCCCGAAATCAAGCATTATACCCGCTGGAAAACCATTCGACCTATTATCGAAGGTGAAACTATTTTTCGATCCACAGATGATGAGGGTGAACGCAGGCAGCTGTTCGAGGAGTATAAATCGGAGCTGAAAAAGGAGCACGCCGAGAAGCAAGCCAATGCGCGTAAATCCGCACGGGATGACCTAGTTGATATTTTGAAAACCTTGAATTTGGAGCCCTACACTCGCTGGTCAGAAGCGCAAGAGATAATTCAGTCTAATGAAAAAATCCAAGGGGATGAAAAGTTTAAGGCGTTGACCAAATCGGATATCCTAACCGCATTTGAGAATCATATTAAGTCTCTTGAACGAGTGTTCAACGACGTCAGACAGCAGCAAAAAGCTAGTAAGACTAGAAGAGAACGTCAAGCAAGAGATGCTTTTATATCTTTGCTACAAGAGCTTAGGTCTCAAGGCAAGATCAAAGCGGGTAGCAAGTGGATGAATATCTACCCATTTATTGAAGAAGATCCAAGATATACGGCAATGCTTGGACAATCTGGGTCCAGCCCTCTAGATTTATTCTGGGACGTGGTTGAAGAGGAAGAACGTGCTATCCGTGGGCCAAGAAATGATGTCCTAGATGTTCTTGATGTAAGTTCTATATATTTGATCGTTTATCTAAGTGATTTAAAAGTGGCATTAACATTTTGATTCTAGGATAAACGGTTTGAAACAACTTTGAAAACTACGTTTGATGAGTTTAAATCTGTGATGAGAACTGATCGTCGTACTGCTACAATTGACCAAGACACTCTCCAGCTCATCTTTGATCGTCTACAAGAGAAGCTCCTTCGACGTACAGAAGATGAGAAGCATGCAGCTAATCGGCAACAGCGGCGCGCGATTGATCTTCTACGATCACGCATCAAGCACCTTGAACCCCCGGTTCAGGCAAATGATACCTGGGAAGATGTAAAACCCAGAATCGAAAAGATGGAGGAATACCGAGCGGTAGAATCGGAGGACGCACGCCGCTCGGCATTCGAAAAAGTTGTGCGCCGTTTGAAGGAAAAAGAGGAGGATGCTGAACGTGATCGCGAAGCCCGCGGACGGGATCGGCCATCACGCCGCGACCACTACGACCGTGTAGACCGAGATGACCGCAATGGACAGAGATGGTCAGGCTCTGGACGTCGTAGCCGTACCCCTGAACCAGATGCGTACGAAGCGGATCGCCGCAAAGCCCAAGCAGACCGGGAAAGATCATATCGCAAAGCCAGCGGATTTTCATCACCGCCTAGGCATCATGACCGTGATCGTAGAGACCGCGACCGCGATCGTGAAAGAGATCGGGACAGAGGTCGTGATCGTGATAGGAGCATTTCTCGGCATCGTCGAGATCGCCGTATCCGAGAAGATGAAAGAGATAGATTCTACCATAGTCGCGCTGACCCTCGAACCAGTCGCGACGAACTGGATTACGGAGGCGGTGATACCGATACCGCTGCACGTAGTGTGACTAGTGAGCGCCGCAGACGCCGTGATAGTGATACTGAGAGCGTTGGCAGCCGGTCCGCAAAACGGTACAGGCGTGAGCCTGATCGCCTAAGTGTCGCGAATGGCGGGAGACGGGGCAAAGAAAAGGAAGAGAAGGCAGCACCTGTGGCGGAAGAGAAGGCTGTTCATTCTGGCAGCGAGGAAGGCGAGATTGAGGAAGACTAGGAGACGTATACTGATCTGTTTCTGTATTTTTCACCAAACCAACATCTTAGCCTATATTTCCATAGTTTAGAACTTTAGACTCGATAACTACATAGGCCAATTCCTCTAAGCGTTGGATAGTCCATCCATTCAACCAAATTTTTTGTTTCAAACGAGTGGAGTGGAGAAAGATGTTGAATCATATCACCAAAATTGAGGTACAGGTTTATCATCCCGTGAAAACGGTACAGGCACAAAAGAATAGAAAGGCAAGTTTTATTCGAGGAAACTGCAAGTTGGTTTGTAACCTTTTCAAATTCTTGAACTCATAGGGCGCTACCGAGTGTGCGCAGCGGCATCACATAGTAGGCGTCGATCGACATCGCGAGCCTCATAGCCATCACTGGGCGTCTCTTTTCCACATTGTATGAGACTTGTGGAAGGGCGTGGCATAGAAATCATGAACAGGTAGTTCTGTCACAAGTATTCAAACATTTATGCAGATGACCCGGCGCATGGAAAATTCTTTGTGTCATCGTCGTCATCGTCATCACCATATGACGTCTCCTCTCCGAAGAAGCGGATGGTACGCCATCCTTGGCCGGCATTTAGGCTGGAGATACTGACACGGTTCAAGCGGCAGTCCCTTACAACCCTCCAGTAGTTCTCCTGCCAGTGAGACCATCGACGATTACGACCATCATGGCGATTATCCCGTGGAACAGCCTTTTCAACTCTCTTCTTCCAAGAAGAACTAGAAGTTATAACGTTAGACACAAAATAGTGTGGCCACGGACAGTTAAAACTTACGAAGTTTCCACTCAACTTCTGCTCCTGGTCAAGTTGGGAATTATACTTGTTGATACGTGGTCTGTAGGTGCTGGGGTCACGTCTGAAGGTGACATCTAGGTTCTGAAGGAAGCGGTTGCACCCTGTAAGAAGAGATTCGGGCTTGTTTGCCTTTGACTTGACGGAAGGAGCTCCTTCGAACAAGATGACACGGTCCGCAAGATAGGTGGCCATAATGAAATCGTGCTCAACGACGAATGCGGTCTTCTTAGTGTGCATAATGAATCTCTTGATAACACGAGCAGCAACGATACGCTGCTCGGAATCAAGATACGCACTCGGCTCGTCAATCAAGTAAATATCAGCTGGCATACCTAGGGCCAAGACGATAGCAACACGCTGCAATTCACCACCAGACAAGTTTTGGACTTCTTGGTCAATGAAGTCATCCAGCTTAAGTGGCTTGTACACATCAGTCTGGAACTGTGGCGACAAGAAGGCAGCCTTAATCTTCTTGAAAAAGAGCTGTCGAACAGTGCCTTGGAACTTGGGTGTGATAGTTTGTGGTTTCATACTGATGTTCATTGGAGGGACGTTCTGACCACCGTCTGGTTTAATTGCGCCAGCCAACATCTTACAGAACGTAGTCTTGCCTGTTCCATTTTCTCCCATCATGACAATGATTTCGGAGTCGGTGAACTGACCGCTATCAATGGTAAGGTGGAAGTTTCCAAGTGTCTTCTCCATTTTTGGATAGCTGAAGGCTCTATCTTTATCAATCATTATATCATCTCCAGCTTCAGCGATTCGGAAAGTCAAAGATTCTTCACGGAAACGAAGATTCTCTGTTAGGATGTGACCATCAAGGAAGACGTTGATACCTTCACGGACTGAGGCTGGGAGTGTAACCACACCATAAACGGCAGGGCGACCGTATAGAACACAGATAAAGTCAGAGAGGTAGTCTAGAACGGACAAATCGTGCTCGACGACAATAACGTAGTCGTCTGGTCGAAGAAGTTCACGAATCATACGTGCAGCAGCAAGACGCTGCTTGACATCCAAGTAGGAAGAAGGCTCATCGAACATGTAACTAGTCTAGTATTAGATCATCTTCTTCGACTCCGGGCATGAGGTTGACTTACACGTCCGCTTGCTGAACGCAGACAAGGCCAATGGCAAAACGTTGGAGTTCTCCACCAGAGAGCAGGCCGATCTCACGGTTTTTGACTTGCTGGAGTTCTAAAATGGAGAGTTAGAAGAGAGCTATCTTGGACATGAAAGATTACATACCTAGGACATCCATGACATGCTCCATATTGTCCATCTGAGCGCGTGCCTCCAGGAGAGCGCCGACCTCCTTTACCGGGCCCTTGACAGCTCGAGGGATCTGGTCGACATACTGGGGCTTGACGACAGCCTTGAGATCGTCTTCTAGGACCTTTGTGAAGTAGTCTTCAGGCATTTGTTAGTATATGTTTTAACCCCCGCATGTCTATGGAGGGAACTTACTTTGAAGCTCAGATCCACGGAAATACTTTAAGATTTCTTCCCAGTCCGGTGGGTTGTCATATCGACCCAAGTTGGGCTTGAGCTTTCCACTAAGAATCTTGAGTGCAGTACTCTTTCCAATACCGTTTGTTCCAACCAATCCAAGAACCTGACCCAGACGGGGCATGGGAAGTCGATGAAGCTTGAAGCTGTTGGCTGAGTAACGGTGGGTGACCTGAGACTCCAGGTTGGTGGGCAGGTTGATGATATGGATTGCACCAAATGGACATTTCTTTGGGCAGATACCACAGCCAATGCATAGCCGTTCCGAGATAAACGCAATTTTCGAGTCTGGGGCGACTTCAATGCAAAGCTTGCCAGTACGGACCACTGGGCAAGACTTTTTGCATTCCTGGCGACATTTCTGCATATTGCTAGTCAGTTGACCGTTCAATTGAGGGTGGCATTCAAGCTCACTAACCTTTGGCTTGCACTGTTATATGGGTGAAAGATTTTGGCGTCAGAATCCCGTAACTAACCAAGGGTATATAAATATAGCGGGGTTATAGTATAGATACCTTATCGCTGTTAACGATAGCAATCCTATAGTAACAAAGAGGGATTAGTCTGAGTTCTTGTAGCATAAATGCAGTAATAGCATACCTAGTTAGCTTATCAGACATGGTGGATGGCTGCGAATGCTGTCGTATATAGGTGTCCTGTAACTAGATAAATTTATTTTGTGGAGGGGCAGTATTGAAGAGAAAAAGAAAAAATTCCAGCAGCTTTTATCGAGTCCGCCTGGTAGCCAAAACGACCCAACTGATTGCTCCTCGACCTGCTGTCTATCAGGAGGAAGGGAGCTCTTTTCAACGAAGAAACAAGAACGCGGTGGCCGTTGGACGCTGCGGGTGTCGGTGGGTGGACGGCAGAGTTGAAGTCCTTGTTTTGTGTCTTTTTTTTTTGTCTTTCCTTTTTTCTAAACTTTTTGCCTTTTTTCGGCTTACTTATCCACGGCCTGTGGTTCGTGCGTTGTGATGAGTCAGCAATAACACAAATCATTATCTAATCAATGACTAAGCTATTGACTGACTCATCTCTTACTCAGCCAGTCTAGCCTCAAGAGGCAAAGACAACGGCCGTCTGACCTTTCCACCTCTTCTTCCTTTTTTTTCCTTTGCTTCTGCGTCGTCCTTCCGCCGCCAGACAAAAATCCACCGAAGAAAGCACATTTATAGAGACAACGAACAGCGCCCTTTTGCCGGCCACCTCTGCCTCATCGACACGCTGAACCGCTCAGCCGGTCCCTGGTCGCGCCTGGGGGCTACCACGTTATGGATCGTAAGTGGTTTTCTGTGTCGTCTTCCACAGAGCGAGAGATACCGCCCCCGGCCCTCTGTTCCCATAGTTGACACCCCCAGCACCGCGCTCCAACCCCCCCTATTCCTGGCTTATTGTATGGAAGCCGAGCTTGTAGAGCTCTCTGCTGTCGGCTTTGCTGTCTGTATAACTGTTTTTGCTTCTCTGTCTGCCTGGGCTGGCCTCCATATTCACGCGCTGGCCGTCCTGAACACCCGTTCATCCATCCCCATTTCCATCAAATTTCATCTATAAATACATCAGACCCCATCTATCCCCGCGTTCCTATGCCTACCTGAGGAGCTATAGCTACCTATAATACAATAATAACTGGCCACATGCTCCTCGCCTGTCTTTCTGTGCGCTTTGTTCCCGCGTTTGACTGCAATTGCCTGCTCAATGCTAATTGCGACCAAAACGTAGCCTCGACCGTGGTGATCCCGAACACCCTCCCCCTCGATATACGTAATGGGCATAGTCCTCTACGCTCACCACCTGGCTATGGGCTTCACGATAATGTTCCCATGCCAGATGCGCCTAGTGATGGCGAGATGTTCCCTTCAAACCCAGAGAATATGGACGACTCCGATGCCTCCAATGAATCTATGAATGCCGAAGAAGACGCAGCTTCGGCAAACGTTGATGACGACGATGAAAGTGTCAACGGTGTTGATGCCGGGATGAGCTCACGCCATTCTTCTGACGATGAAAGCATTGGGGGCTCGGAAGACGCGGCTGGCGAGGACGTTGCTGAATTCACAATGGAGAACGGCGTAGATGCCCCTCCGTCGGAGATGTTTTCATCCTCACCGGGCTCTAAAAGGGGAGTGAAACGCAAATCCTCTGTTGACGAAGAGGAATATATCAGAAACAACCCTACTCTCTACGGCCTACGACGGAGTGGACGCGCTCGTCCAACTCGGCGACTGGATCAAGAGTCCTCAGCCTCCGAGTCTGATGTTGCCCCACCCCCAAAACGTCGTCGTCCCGGCCGTACCTCTGACCGTCCTTCCCCGGTTCAGATGCCTGAATCGTCGTCAGACTCTGATAGTGACGCGTATGAAGGTCCGCGTCGCAGTCGACAGGGGAAAAAGCAACGCCGGAACAACCAAAATGATCTGAAAAACTCCTACATACCTACACATGGTGAAGTTCGCTTTTCAACACGGCGGGCAAACAAGGTCTGTAATTACAACGAAGAGAGTGACGATAACATGTTTGAAGATGAGTATGAAGAAGGTACTCCTGGAGAATGGACATATACCGTTGATGACACCACACCGGCCATCGACAAGATCCTCTATCATCGCTTCAAAGAAGGTGTAGACCTTGAAAAGCCTGATCTAGGCCGCCGTGACTGCGAATACTACACCAAGTGGCAGGGTTTAGCACATTACCATGCAACCTGGGAAACAGTCGATACCCTTGCTAACTGTCGTGGCATCAGACGTCTAGACAACTATATCCGGAGAGAGATCGAACAGGAGATCCTCTTCATGAGAGATCCAGATGTTATCCCGGAGGAACGGGAGAAATGGAGTCTTGATCGCGAACGATATATTGAGAAAATTGACCACTTCAAACAGGTCGAACGTGTAATCGGCTCCCGTGAAGTTGATGGCGCAACCGAGTACTACATCAAATGGAAACGTTTACCTTACGATGGCTGTACATGGGAGGAAGGAAGCCTCATAAGCAACATGGCTCAAGCCCAGATTGATGCCTACCTCGACCGCTGCTCCCACCCTCCGATCTCCTCCAGAGCGGAGTCTAATCCTGCAACCCGCTCCAAGTTCGAACCTATCCATACCAACCCAGACTTTATACAGAACGGTCAACTCAAGGAGTTCCAGATTAAGGGAGTCAACTTCCTTGCTTACAACTGGGTCCGCGGCCGCAACGTTGTCCTTGCCGACGAAATGGGCCTAGGTAAAACTGTCCAGACGGTAGCATTCATCAACTGGCTACGGCATGTCAGACAGCAACAGGGCCCGTTCATCGTCATCGTCCCATTAAGTACCATGCCTGCCTGGAGTGAGACATTTGACTATTGGACACCTGACGTCAACTACATCGTCTACAGCGGTCCGGAGCCTGCTCGAAGGATCATCAAAGACTACGAGCTTTTGGCTGATGGCAATTTGAAACGTCCTAAATTCAATGTTCTCCTCACCACTTATGAATATGTTCTGCAAGATGCAAGCTTTTTAAACCAAATCAAATGGCAATTTATGGCAATTGATGAAGCGCATAGATTGAAGAATCGTGACTCACAGCTATATACCAAACTACTTGATTTCAAGTCGTCCTGTAGGCTCCTTATAACGGGAACTCCAGTTCAAAACAACTTGGGGGAACTCTCTGCCTTGATGGACTTTCTCAATCCAGGCGTCATCGAAATTGACGAGAATATGGACCTAAACTCAGAAGCTGCCAGTGCAAAGCTGGCTGACCTGACCCAAGCTATTCAGCCCTATATGCTTCGTCGAACCAAGTCCAAAGTCGAGAGTGAGCTTCCGCCAAAGTCTGAAAAGATCATTCGCGTTGAGTTATCAGATGTCCAACTCGAACTGTATAAAAACATTCTGACCAAGAACTACGACGCCCTCAACCACGGCGGTAAGGGGCCTAAACCGTCCCTACTCAATATCATGATGGAGTTGAAGAAAGCTAGTAATCATCCATTCATGTTCTGGGGCCCTGAAGAGCAAGCTGGAGGAAGCACACGGCGGGAAGACCAACTTAAGGCCCTCGTTACCAGTAGCGGGAAGATGATGGTTCTCGATCAGCTCCTGACTAAGCTAAAGAATGATGGCCATCGTGTGCTGATTTTCAGTCAGATGGTTCGAATGTTGAACATTTTGGCTAACTACATGGATGCTCGAGGTTTCAACTACCAGCGTCTGGATGGCACCATTGCCGCCGGCCCTCGTCGCCTCGCCATCGAACACTACAATGCTCCGGGCAGTACTGACTTCACCTTTTTACTCTCCACCCGTGCTGGTGGCCTTGGTATCAACCTGATGACAGCCGATACAGTTATATTATTCGATTCAGATTGGAACCCACAAGCTGATTTGCAGGCTATGGCTCGAGCTCACCGTATAGGGCAAACAAAGCCTGTCAGCGTATATCGTCTGGTCTCCAAGGATACAGTTGAAGAGGAGGTCTTGGAAAGAGCGAGAAATAAGCTGTTGCTGGAGTTCATAACCATCCAAAGAGGTGTTACCGACAATGAAGCTACTAGCCTCAAAAACAAGCTTGCTCAAGCTGGTCATCATGTCAATGAACCTACTTCCTTCGATGATATCTCGCGGATTCTCAAACAGCGCGGACAGCGAATGTTCGAGCAATCTGATAACCAGAAGAAACTTGAAGAACTTGACATTGATGCTGTTCTTGCCAATGCTGAAGAACACAAGACTGTCGAGGAAGATGCTATTGAGGTTAGCGGAGGAATCGACTTTATCAATGAATGCCAATATGTTGATGTCAAGTTCGATGACCTTTCATGGGACGATATCATTCCAAAGGAATACCTAGAGAAGATCAAAGCAGAGGAAGAACTAGAAGCTCAAAGAAGGCCGCCCCCGAAGGAAGAGCCTACTGAAAACACAAATTCTAATGCCATGATCAGCGATGAACGCGAGGAGCGGAAAGCCAAGCGGCGAGCTCGCCAACAAGTGAATTTGGATGCCGAAATCATGTCTGATGCCGAAGGCCCAGATCCCAGTGCACCTCTAAGTGAGAAGGAATACCGACATCTCATCCGTGCATACCTGAGATACGGTGATATGAAGGATCGCCAGGAAGAAATCATAAAAGAAGCACGCCTCGTGAACCGCGATCTTACCGTTGTGAAAGACGCGCTCAATGAGGTCATTGAAAAGGCTACTGCTCTTGAACAGGAGGAAAACAACAGAATTCGTGCCCTTGAACGTGAGGGTAAGAGCTTTACTAAAAAGGAGCGGAAGGCAATCCTTTTCGATCACAAGGGTGTCAAACGCATCAATGCGGAAACTATCGTTAGTAGGCCTGGGGAAATGCGTCTTCTACGTGAGGCTACCTCCAGTTTACAGGACATAACGAGTTTCCGCATACCAGAAGCTACCAAAGGTGCTGATTACTCCTGCTCATGGGGTGCTCGAGAAGATGGAATGCTGTGTCTGGGCATTGCTCGTCACGGCTACGGAGCATGGACACAGATCCGCGATGATCCCGAACTAGGCCTAAGCGACAAATTTTTCCTCGATGAGCACCGTGTCGACCGCAAGCAAGAGCGATTGAGCGGCAAGGGTGAAGGATCGAAATCTCCCGGGGCTGTACATCTGGTTCGAAGAGCAGATTACCTCATATCGGTTCTTAAGGCGAAAGCCAGCAATGGTTCCAACGCCGCGGCAAGGAAAGCTTTGGAAAACCACCACCGGAACAATAAGAAAGTCAATTCTCGGAATGCTCATCGAACCGTTTCTGCCTCTCCTGCTCCCTCTCTCCCACGAAAAGGTAGAGAAAGCGAAAAGTCGAGGCGCCGTATGCAAAACCGTGCCAGTCGGGATAGCGCGGATGGATCTCACACTCCATTACGAGATCATCGAGATCGAGACCGGGAAAGAGACCGTGGGAAGCCTGTCGATTCAGATAAAGCGCGCAGACATTCCAAGGAAGAAGCACATCGCCGTCGTAGTGATGATCGTACTCCAACGGGCGGTGACACTACGCTTCGAAGTATCTTCAAGCCCATTCGCGAGCATCTACGACGAGTGTCACAGGTCACTAAGGAGAATATTCCAAGCAAGTCACAGCGAGTTGCTGAACTTCGCCGATTACTGCAAGTGGTTGGAGACTTCATCCATGGTATTCTCGACGGTCAAGAAACTGCAGCTTCACTTGAAGAAAGATTATGGTTCGTTTTAATATGTTCCTATCACTTTCATGATTCCGTTATACTAACCTTTACGCAGGGATTACTGTGCTATTACTTACTGGCCGAACAAAGGAACACCTGGGAGCGCACTTCTCACTATGTACGAAAAGATAGCGAAGGATGGGGGACGCGTCGAAGCCTCAAACTAATTCCCCTGCCTTCTCTTTCCGATCTTTCATCGAACATCTATCTGCCATCCAACCTACG